TCCCGCCGGCCCCTGTCCGGGCCGGCCCCAATCACCGCCGACTCTAGCCACGCGCGCCGCCGCCAAGCCTTTCGAGGCGCCGTGCTACCGGGCCGACCTGCCGGCCTTGGCTCCCACTCTGCGCAGGCGCTCCCGACGGCCATCTCCACCGCTCTCCACCACTCTCCACCGCCCTCCACCACTCTCCACCGCTCACCACCGCTCTCCACCAGCTCTCCACCGCTCTCCCCCGCTCTCCTCCTCCACCTCTAGCGCTTGTCACCTGCTGTAGTCGTGGCGATGGCGGACGCTGTGCTCTGCCTAGACGTGGAGGGTTGGGCGATCGACTTTGAGGCGAGGCTCGCCGACCTCCGCCGCCCGCTGAGGGGTCAGCGCCAGGATTGCCAGTTCCTGGCCATCCACGTCGACGGTAAGCTCCCCTGCCCCGACCCGCCTGCTGCCCTCTCTGACGCCCCCACGCCCACAGAGCGTGAGGTCGCTGCAGCTGCTGAGCTCGCCCGCTCTGTCTAGGAGTCGCGCGACGCAGTTGCGCAGCTTGCTATCAGTCGCGCCCTCCCCTTGTCCGAGCGTCCCCGCTTTCAGACCGTAGAGACTGTGCAGGAATTCTTAGATGTTGTCGTTGCATGCTACTCTACTCTCTCCTCTGCCTCTGCCAGTCGTTTCCTGCTCCCCCTGATCTTTCCTGATCTCGTGTCCTTCCCCAATGTCGCTAACTTGGCCACTCACCTGCGCGCGCTTGAGGCTAGCTACTGCGCTCCCAGCACTGAGGCCTGGCTCAATGTACTGCCTCCCCCCATCGGCGCTACCCTTTACTTCGTTGCCACGCGCCTTCCCGACCACCTAGCCACTGCCCGCAACCACTTGCCAGCGCGCTATCGCTCGGTCCAACAGTAACGCGGTGGTCCCTATCTTCCGGGGCTGTGCTCCCTCCTAGTGCTCTTACTTTGACGTGTCTGCCGCTGTCGCTCAGACAGCCGCTACTGCTGAGACCGCCGCGGCGGCCTCCACGCAGTCTCGTCAGGGTAGGGGCCGTTGGTTTAAGGGGGGGCGTGGTGGAGGGAGGGGTGGTGAGGGTGGCGGCGGTGGCGGAGGTGGTGTAAGTGCCGGTGGTGCCGATGAGGGGACCGGGGCTGATGCCTCTACACCGCAGCAGCAGCAGCAGCAGTCACCCCAGCAGCAGCAGCCGTGGGGACCTCCGCCACCGTGGTGGTCTGGCGTCCTTAGTGGTGGCGGCCGCGGCGTCGGGGGGTACCAGCTCCAGACCGGCCCCCTTTGCGGCATTGTGTGCGACCGTCCCAGTCACACCGCAGCTCGCTGTTACCGCCGCCTTGATGACCTCTTCCGTCTCCGGTTTGGCCCTGCTCCGGACCCCCCCAACTGGCATAGCGTGGTACGTCGCTGTGTGCCGATCTTTGAGATGGGCATGGATCAGATTAGGTCTGCTCCGTATGCCATGTATGCTGATGTCTCTAGTGCCACTGGACCCTATGTATCCAGTGTTGCCTAGTATAGATGTGTCCATTGTGCGTAGTCTAGGCTCCCCTACTGCGTCAAGCGTAGGATCTCCTGCTTTGTTTAGCCTAGGCTCCACGTTCTTGCCCCCGCCGGCTGCCGCTACCGCCGCGCTGTCCTTTACGCTAGGCTCTAGTGCATATGCCTGCTTTTTTTGCAACTGCACTATGCTCACGCCCCTTGCCGCCCCTGCCGCTGTAGCGCTTGCTGACCCCTCCTCATTTCCGGTAGTTGCTCGTAGTTCCACCACCCTTCCCTGTCCGACTGTTCCCTCGGGCTCCCTGACAGGCTTGCACATCCCCTCATTTTCCAGGAACCTAATTGGTGTCGTCTGTCTTCAGGACCTCGGCGTCACCACAATGTTCCCTGGCCACGAGCGGTACGCAGTCTCTACCGAGGCCGCCGCTGGTTCCCCCCTCACCACGTTTCCCCGGGACCTGGTGTCTAGCCTATTCACACTAGACACCGCGTCTCCCCCAGTGGGGGCGTCCCCCCAGGTGGCTGCGTCTACCCAAGTCGCCGCAGCTTGCTCGTGTCAGTCGCTCACTCATCCGTCACTTCTGTGGCACCACCGCCTAGGTCATCCTGCTCTCCCTCGTCTACATCACATGTCCCAGCACGGTCTTGTCTTAGGTCTCCCTGCATCCCTCCCTGCCCTCCCTCCATCGCCCGCACCTCCGTGCACGCCTTGCGTCGAGGGCTGGCTGTGCCATACTCCTCATTCCTCTTCGTTTTCCCCCACCACTACGCCATTCCAGACCCTGCACCTGGACGTTTGGGGTCCAGGCCCCGTCTCTGGACCGCGTCGAGAGCGCTACTTTCTAGTGCTTGTCGACGACTACGCGTGCTACACCTCGGCATTTCCCCTGGAGCGGAAGGTCGACATGCCTGGCGTTCTTATCCAATCGGTCGTAGCTGCGTCAGTCCACGGTGGCCTCCTTGTGCTGTGTCTTCACTTTGACCGTGGCGGCGAGTTCGCCTCTAGTCGGATTGGTCAGTTCTGTCATGCGAAGGGCATCACCCAGTCGTACACCCTGCCGGACTCCCCACAGCAGAATGGGGTCGCTGAGCAACGCATTAGTTTGGTCATGGATGTGGCTCGTACCTCCATAATCCATGCCGGTGCACCCCATTTTCTACGGCCGTACACTGTTCGCTACGCCGCTCACCAGCTTAACCTATGGCCATACTCCCAGTGGCTGAGGTTTCGCTGACCCTCCTCTGGACCAGGTCCCCTGGTGACGCGTCTGCGTTCCACATCTGGGGCTGCCTCGCTCAGGTTCGTGCCTCTGGCACGGACAAGCTCACTGCCCGCACTGTCCCCTGTGTCTTCCTTGGTTTCCCCCTTCACTCGTCTGACTGGCACTTTTACCACCCGTCGTCTCACCGTTTCTTTTGACACTCGTGACGTCACTTTCGACAAGTCTATCTCCTTCTTTACCCGCTTTCCCTACTAAGGTCTCCCGATTACGTTGCCCTTGTTTCTGGTCCCCGCTCCCCCAGTAGCCCCTGCTCCTCTCCCTCCCCATCCTGCCCTGAATGGTGTGTCTCACGTCACTCCCCTCCCGTCGATTGTCCTGGTGGAGGAGTCGGCTGACTCTGGGGGCCCTGCGGCTCCGGTTTTGCCACCTGTCTCCGCCCCTGTGTCTCCTCCTCCGCTGTTGCAGTAGCAGCCGCTGTCGCCATCGCAGGGGTCCGCGAGCTCTGGGGGTGCGGGCATTGAGGAAGGTGCTAGTCCTGGGGTTAGTGTCATGGCTTGTCCCAGCTGTCTTGGGGGTGGCACTAGTGCTGGAGAAGGTTCTCGTTCTGGGGGTGCTGGTTCTGGGGGTGCTAGTGCTTGGGGTACTGTCGTGGCTTGTCCGGGCGGTCTTGGGGGTGGCACCAGTGCTGGAGAGGGTTCTCGTCAAGGGGGTGCTGTCATGGAGCGTCCCGGAGGTAGCCGTGGTGCGGCTGGAGATTCTGCATCGGCATAGAGCAGCAGCAGCAGTCGCTGCCGGTGTCCGCCCTTCGCCTCCTTGGTCTTCTTTCCGCCGACTTCCCGCCTGCACCTCCTCCGCCGGTGTACGGCCATGTGTTTCCTCCACCGGACTCGTCCCCAGCTCGTTTCCCCTCTTGTTCTTCTCCTGTGTCTCCTCCCTTGTCTCCTGACCCGACCCCCCCCTCCCACTGGTGGTCTCACACTGCCTCTCGTGCTTGTCCTGTCTCTCTTGTCTAGCACTCTCACCCTATGTTGCTCTGCTCTCACGCGTCTCGTGCTCCTCTTCTACCGTCGCATCCTCAGTCGTCGCTTGTTGTCTCCCCGCCTCCTCTATCTAACTTCCTTCGTGCCGCAAGTCTGCTTGTTCTTCGCGTTCTCACCTCTCTTATTACCAATTAGTCTGTTCCTGTCTCCATTCTTGACGCTCTTGTCGCTGCAGTCACTGACTTTGCCTCTACCCGCCGCCTTGAATACACCACCACTCTGGTCTCTCACCCTTCCCGTCCTCCGTCCGCCGAGGGTGCACCTGCCCTTGGCAGTGACGTCCTAGAGGACAGGCAGTACGAGCTAGCTTTCCTGTCCGAGGCCGCTCCCCACCTCTGCTCCATGCTACTAGTCCCTGAGGGTGACCCGGACGCCCTTGACATCCCGACCCCTCGCACTTACGCTGAGGCGACCTTGGGACCTTGGGCCTCTCAGTGGATAGCTGCCATGGACGCGGAGATGGCATCTTGGAGATCCACCGGCATCTACGTCAACACAGTTCCCCCACCTAGGGTGAACGTAGTCGATGGCCGCTGGCTCTTCAAGGTGAAGTGCCCTCCTTGCATGCTACGTTACGAGAGGCTTCAGTCAGTGTGAGGGTGTTGACTTCTTTCAAACCTTTGCCCCGACCCCAAAGATGACCACTCTTCAAGCGCTACTATGCGTAGCAGCAAAGCGTGACTACGAGCTGCACTCCCTCAACTTCTCTACAGCGTTTCTCCAACGCAGTCTGTACAAGTAGGTCTACCTGCGCCGCCCGCTAGGCTTCACCGGCACCTTCACCTTTGGGACCGAGTGGCTTCTCCGGCGCCCGGTTTACGACCTGCGGCAGGCGCCCCGTGAGTGGCACGACGCGCTGCGTGCTACGGTAGCTGACCAGCATTTCTTCCCGTCCTCTGCAGACCCTTTGCTCTTCGTTCGTTCAAGCTAGACCCCGTTCAACATCCTAGTCTAGGTAGACGACCAGGATAGTTTTCATGACACCCTGGTGGGTCAGGGTGCGCGGATCCACAACCCTGTTTTCGTCAGTGTAAAATGTTTGTATCACTTTTTAGATCACGGTTATCAATATCGTAAGTTTGATTTTTCAGACCAACCAAAAAAATACCCCGAAAAATCAGGGCAATAAGGGCATTTCTGTCAACATATTGATGTATATTGTTATAGGCTAGAAAGGTGCATGCAATAGCAAGTACAACACCTAGCAAAAAACTGCCTTGTACCACCCTTCCTAGTTCAATTCGTTACTCCGAGATGGTATCACGCTCGGTTAGGTCCCCCCTCCCTGTTTACGCTTCCGCCCCTAGCCCTATTCCTAGCCTTAGTAGCGCCGCGCCGCGCCATGCCCTATCTCTAGGTGCTAGGAGAAAGTTACGAGAGAAAAGAGGGGTGGACTAGAAGAGAACAAGATACAAGAAGGGGGGATTTTCTCCTCTATAGTAGGATTCAGTAAGTAGCACAACTACCATGCCTACACAAAGGTATATCTAAATATATACTTTGACACACCCCCTAGGCTTGGTAGTGACAAGCCCAACCCACCCGCAGCATCCCCACATCCTTGCACCCCTATTCCCTGCAGCAGCAGTGGCGTCGACCAGCCGGTCGACCCCTCGGCAAGCGCGGTGGCGACGTCGGCAGTGAGGGTAGTGGCTGCAACGGCGGCGACGGCAGCAGCGACGACTGTGGCGGTGGCAGCGGCGTGCGGCGGCGATGCTAGCGGCACCAGATGCGGCGGCGGCGGCTTCGACAACAGCGGCGGCGACGGCAGAGCTCGCAGCACTCGGTGGCATGGCCCAACCTGCGATGACGAGGGGGGGGGGACGGCACGAGGTCGCCAGCAGCTGCGGCGGGGAGGAGGGGAAAGGCAGAGGAGGGGAAGGGGGAAGGGGTGGGGGGCGGATCTTCAGCGCGGCGCCATGACTGGCGCGGTGCTTACCGGCATGCGGGCGGGCTGGACGCGGCTAACACGGTGCACGGCCCGCTGCCGCTTGTGCGCTAGCGCGTCGACGCGGCCGCAACAGCACAACGACGCCGCCACGGCTTGACATCGACGCCACGACAGCGCGACGAGGCTGCCACGGCAGCGTGTCGAGACCGCCACGGCAGCACGACGCGGCCGGCGGCACGACGACGCTGTCACAGCAGCACGACGCGGCCGCCATGGCAGCGAGAGAGAGAGAGAGAGAGAGAGAGAGAGAGAGAGAGAGAGAGAGAGAGAGAGAGAGAGAGAGAGAGAGAGAGAGAGAGAGAGAGAAGGGGAGAGAGAGAGAGAGAGAGAGAGAGAGAGAGAGAGAGGGAGAGAGAGAAAGGGAGAGAGAGAGAGAGAGAGAGAGAGAGAGAGAGAGAGAGAGAGAGGAGTGCACGGCGAAAGCGAGAGAAGAAGGTCCAAAATGGTTGAACCTGCTCTGATACCATGTTAAGATAGCTAGGTAAGGAGAGGAGCCATGGAAAAGAGGGTTTAGGTGCTACGAGAACGTTACGAGAGAAAAGAGGGGTGGACTAGAAGAGAACGAGATACAAGAAGGGGGGGTTGTCCCCTCTTCAGTAGGATTCAGTAAGTAGCACAACTACCAAGCCTACACAAAGATATATTTGAATATATACTTTCACAGTACCACCCTTCCTTGTTTATGTCAACTTATACATATACTGTATGTAGAAGTTATAGGCTAGCCTAGGTGTGCGCTTCTAGTGAGTACAACCCAAAGAGGTATATGTTCTAGGTTTCTCACTCTAGTCAATTATTCTTCCTTTCTATCATGGTATCGAGAGTAGGTTAGGTCCATTCGCCCACTTCCGCCCACGTCCTAGTCTCTCGTCCGCCCCTAGCCGGCCCCCTGGCCGTCGCGTCCGCCCCTAGCTGGCCCCCTGGCCGTCGCGTTCGCCCCTAGCCGACCCCCTGGCCGTCGCGTCCGCCCCTAGCCGGCCCCCTGGCCGTCGCGCCCGCCCCTAGCTGGCCCCCTGGCCAACGCGTCCACCCCTAGTCGGCCCCCTGGCCGTCGCGTCCGCCCCTAGCCGGCCCCCTGGCCGTCGCGTCCGCCCCTAGCTGGCCCCCTGGCCGTCGCGTCCGCCCCTAGCTGGCCCCCTGGCTCTGGTGGTCCCCCCGGTTCGTCCTTGCCGCGCCCCCCTTCCTCGGTGTCTCCGCCCCCACTATCGCAGTCGCCGCCGTCGCAGTCGCCGCCATCCTAGCCGCCACCGCCGCCGCCGCAGCTGCCGCTCTTGGCCTCTGGGGGTGCTGGCGTTGAGGAGGGTGTTCGTTCTGCGGCTCCTGGCGTGGTCTGTCCCGGCGGGCCTGGGGGTGCCGCTGGTGTTGGAGGGGGTTCTCGCTCTAGGGGTGTTGGTTCTGGGGGTGCTGCCGTTGAGTGTTCTCCTGGTGGTCGTTGTGCCCCTGCCGGTCCGTGGGTCGAGACCCAGCCGTCGCTGCCGCTGCCGCAGCTGTCGCCGCCCATCTCAGCTCTTCGCCTCCTCGGCCTTCCCTCCCCCGACCGCGTGCCAGCGTCTCCCCCACCTCCTCCTCACCTTTCTGTCTACGGCCCTGTGTTCCCGCCCCCGGACTCTTCTCTGGCCCGTCTTCCTCCTCGTTCCCCTCTTGTGTCCCCTCTGCTGTCTCTAGACCCTACACCTCCGTCCCACGTTTGGTCTCGCCGTCCCTCGCGTGCTCGTCCTGTCTCCCCTGTCCCTCGCTCCCACCCTATGTTACTCCGTTCTCACTCGTCTTGTCCCCCCCTCCTCCCCTCGCCTCCTCCCTCGTCGCTTGTTGTTGCACCTCCCCCGCTGTCTGACTACCTCCGTGCCGCTCGTCCCCTCGTCCCTCGAGTCCTTGCCTCTCTTGTTACAGACCCGTCTGTTCCTGTCTCGCGCCTTGACTTGCTTGTCGCTGCTGTCGCTGACTTTGCCTCTACCCACCGCCTTGACTACGCTACTGCTCTAGTCTCTGACCCTGCCCGTCCTGCGTCCATCGGGGGTGCACCTGACCTTGGCAGTGACGTACTAGAGGACAGACAGTACGAACTTGCTTTCCTTTCCGAGGCCGCTCCCCATCTCTGCTCCATGCTCCTAGTCCCAGAGGGTGACCCAGACGCATTCGATATCCAGACCCCTTGCACCTACGCTGAGGCCACCTCGGGACCCTGTGCCTCTCAGTGGATAGCTGCCATGGAGGAGGAGATGGCATCTTGGAGGTCCACCGGCACTTACGTCGACGCAGTTCCCCCTCCTGGGGTGAACGTAGTCGATGGTCGGTGGCTCTTCAAGGTGAAGCGCCCTCCTGGAGAGCCGCCTGTCTTCAAGGCGCACTACGTGGCTAGAGGCTTCAGCCAGCGCGAGGGGGTGGACTTCTTCCAGACCTTTGCCCCGACCCCGAAGATGACTACTCTTCGGGCACTGCTACACATCGCAGCACAGCGCGACTACGAGCTTCACTCCCTCGACTTCTCTACTGCCTTTCTCCAGGGCAGCCTACACGAGCAGGTCTACCTACGCCGACCACAGGGCTTCACTGGTACCTTCCCCCCTATGACCCAGTGGCCTCTCAGGCGCCCGGTCTTCGGCCTGCGCCAGGCCCCCCGCGAGTGGCACGACACGCTGCGTGCCACGCTAGACTCCGTTCTACATCCTTGTCTACGTAGACGACCTGGTCTTTGCTACTGCTGACAGGGACGCACTGGCCTCCGTGAAGGCAGAGCTTCTGAAGGGACACACCTGCACTGACCTTGGAGAGCTGCGTCGCTATCTTGGCCTGCATATCTCCAAGGACAGAGCAGCACGCACCATCACTCTGACACAATCACATTTGATGCGTCAGGTCCTTCAGAGGTTTGGTCTTCAGTTTTCCTCCGCACAGCCCACACTGTTCCTGAGGAGCCAGTAGAGCCCAGCGGCCCTTACACAGAGCTGGTGGGTTGCCTCATGTACCTGATGACTTGCATTCGCCTCGATCTCGCATACCCTCTCAGCATCCTGGCTCGCTTTGTGGCCACCAGCAGACACCGGCCACAGCACTGGTCGGCCGCTAAGAGGGTTTTGCGATATCTAGCAAGTACATCGGGCATGGGGTTAGTGCTTGGAGGACGCAGGCCAGTGGTTCTCACTGGGCACACAGACGCTTCTTAGGCAGACGACTCTGAGACTCTCAGGTCTTCTCAGGGCTACAGTTTTAGCCTTGGTTCAGGTGCTATCTCTTGGAGATCCACTCGCTCGTCGTCTGTTGCTCAGTCCAGCTGTGAGGCTGAGATCTACGCTGGTGCCATGGCGGCACAGGAGCTCAGCTGGCTTGTCTTTTTGCTCACAGACTTAGGTGAGCGGCCTAGGTCTGCCCCAGTCCTGTACGCTGACAACAGGGCCATGATTCTCCTGTGTTAGGAGCCTCGACTTGAGGGCAGAGCGAAGCATATCCAGCTGCGGTACTTCCTCCTGCGCGAGCTACAGCAGCGTCGCCATGCCTGCGTAGTTTACTTGGTCTCCGGTGCCAACACAGCTAATATCTTTACCAAGGCGCTTGCGCCTAAAGATCATCAGCGGCACTGTGTGCAGCTTGGTCTTGTTCGTGTAGCTACCAGGCCTGTCGTTATCAGGGTATTTTACCCTGATTCCCTGATTTCACAGGGTATTTTTTTTGCCAACCCTTAATTTTTAGGGTTGGGCTTTTTTGAACCCTAACCTCTTCAGGGTTGTATGTCTGTGAACACTGAGAATTTCAGGGTTTGCGTTATCCCAACACTGAGTTTTCAGGGAGTAACGCGTACGAACCCTGAGTGCGACATCCATGTGGCTCACAATGCGGAAATTTAGGCGAAGTCCCCAATCTCCAGAGACATTCCCCCCCACACGCAATAACCTACAAAAATTGGTGAAGTCCTCAAACATTCCCTCACACACCAAGCAACCCACAAAAATCGGCTAAGTCATGTGTCGTACAGACATCCCCCTTACACACCTAACAACAACCCACAAAAATTAGCTAAGTCTTGAGAGGCAGTGACAGCACAAAAAAAAAACGGCTTGTACACAAGTTAACCCCCCTCCCACACTCCCACTACCAATAAAAAAGGCTAACGGTCAAGTCATAGAAGGGTACTAGCGACAATTCTCCCTTCTTAAGGAAAGTTTTTTTATTGCCCGTGTGGTCAACTGAAAGTCCATCAAACTTTGACGGCCACGATCAATCGCGATCGTTTCGACAAATTTCAGCCGTTAGATGATCGCGTATGATTAACGTCCCCGATTTGCCCATGGCGCTGCAAGCGTGAGAGGTTTTTTTGCCACTGCCCCATTCGCCTCGATCCGCACCTCTCCCTCAGTTTCGCTTCCCCTCTCCCCTCTGTTTCGATTCCCCCTTCCCCCCTGTTTCGATTCCCCCTTCCCCTCCATTTCGCTTCTCCGATTCCTCTCTACTGTATTTCGAAACCCCCCCCCTCCCCCCACTTTTTCCCTCCCCATTTCGCTTCCTCTCTTCCCCTATGTTTCCATCCTCCCCCTTCCCCTTCGTTTCGCTCTTCCCCTCCCCTCGGTTTGATTCCCTCCCCTTTTTCCCCCCATTTTTCATTCCCCCCTCGTGTTGAAGGCAACCCTGAATGCGTTCGGTGAACCCTGGGATTTTCAGGGTTCTTGATTTCTTAACACTTACAAATCAGGGTAGGCAAATTTTGAACACTGAGCCCTCAGGGTAAATTTTTTTTTTTAGTCGACAGCTCAGGGGGGTTTTTTTTGAAACGTCAGGCCTGGTAGCTACTCACTTGTTAGGACCCTGATTGTGTACTCTCTACTATATATATAGTCCTGTCTGACTAGCCTTGTGGCCTTGCCCCCAGTGGCTGGACTAGTAGTGCCGCCCTGGTTTGCTTTAGTCTTGTTGTACTTTTGCTGACTAGTCTCCGGACCCCTGCCTCAGTGGTTGGACTAGTAGTGCCGCCCTGAGCTGTGTGTCAACTTATACATATTATCTATGTAGAAGTTATAGGCTAGACTGAGGTATGCTTCTAGTGAGTACAACCAACTAGTATTTGTTCTAGGTTTCCACTTCTAGTTATCATTCGTTCTCACTTTAACATGGTATCACGCGTAGGTTAGCATCCCCCACCTACCGCTTCCGCCCGTACCCTAGCTAGGCCACGTCGCGCCTCCTAGCCCCGTCGCGCCCCTCCTGGGCCCTGTCGCGCCGCCCTAGCCCCGTCGCGCCACCCTAGCCCCGTCGCGCCCCTCCTGGGCCCCATCGCGCCTCCTAGCCCCGTCGCGCCCCTCCTGGGCCCCGTCGCGCCGCCCTAGCCCCGTCGCGCCCTACTTGGCCTCGTCGCGCCCGCTCGGCCTCGTCGCGCCCTGCCTGGCTCCGTCGCGCCCGCCTGGCCCCGTCGCGCCCTGCCTGGCCCCGTCGCGACCTGCCTGGCCCCGTCGCGCCCGCTCGGCCCCGTCGCGCCCTGCCTGGCTCCGTCGCGCC